TCATTCAAATAAAACCAATAAGTGTTGATGTCACGATGTAACCTGTGTCAGTTTCACATTTTCTACTCTGAATTGATAATACAAATAATAATACATTTTATTCGTATAGCACCTTTTATACAAAGTGTAGCACAACAGGCTTTACAAATAAGGAATATAGACATTAAAAGAACATTAACATAAGGTATAGAAACCCAAATTAATAATATATTACATAAAATAGTAGTGTTTTATATAAGTTATTAATTTGTCTGGAAAGAAAAAAATCCCAAAGGTTCCATTGGACTCCTTTGTATACAGCCCTTAAACATAATGACATTACAATACACTGGCGCTTCTATTGGCTAGCGCTCGCTTATATATACAGTCTATGGCTCCAACACATTAAAAGTGATAGGCTAAGGGGCGGGACATCTCTAAGCGGTTGACCAGCTAACCAATCAGAGCAGAGAGTGAAAAGAGATGCTGCAGCACAGGATGAGCAAAATAAAGAGCTTTTTGAACATTAAAGCATGGAGACATGTCACAGTAGAGACATTAAATACAAATATGAACCTGAACATGATCACAATAGGGCCCCTTTAAAGCAAGTGAGAGTATTTGTAACTCATAGTTACCGAAGTCAATAGTATAGTTGATATAGAATAGTACGTATATTGACGGATACAGAACGAGAAAGAAGGAGCATGCAGGTGTGTTAGTGCCCCCCCTGTGTGATGACCTTCCTTCAGCTCAGAGCTCAGACCTTTGCCACACACACACACACACACACACACACACACACACACACACACACACACATATATAGCAGAGGTTCATTATAGATTCATAAGTACCAACATGCCCCCAACCCTTCCTCACCAAGACATCATAAAGGTCAAGTTCATCTTCCTCAGTATTCTCTCTGTGTCTCTCCTCATTGTCTCTGGGGGCTCTGCAGCAACCATAACAACACCATCCTGTTGTGTGTGTGTGTGTGTGTGTGTGTGTGTGTGTGTGTGTGTGTGTGTGTGTTTACTGTTGAGCATATAAGCCAAAGTGCTATGAATACATTTCCATAATGCGTGTTTAGCTTGGCGTCATGTAAAGTGTGCCAATCAAACATACTGCGAAACATTTCATCATTATATTCTCAGAGCATCACTGCGAAACAACTCTGCCCGTCTTCATTACTGCAGACTGCATGAAGGCTTCTCTCTCTTCTCTCTCAATGTCTGAATGATTGAATGTTTGAGAAGTATACGTGGGGGAAAACTGCCGAAATCAAACATTTCCAGAAGTAAATCCTCAATATCTCCATCAATATGTGATCATATGTTAGGACGATTTCTGGTGCTTTAAGGAAGTATTTACAAAACTGTAATATTATAATACTATAATATGGAAAAGAGCAAACTAATTAAGGAACAATAGTTAAATTAGTCAAAAAATGTGCATTGATTATGCCAAAATTAGCCTTTAAAACTCAAATCTTATATTTCAATTGGTTTTTTAAAAAAAATCAAAAATCAATCAAAATATCTATTCTTATTCACATTATGAATATCCTGTTGTTCTGTAATTGTGCATATTATGGTGTTTTATGATTTTTAATGCAATAGGACTTTTACAAAAATCTATTTTAAATGAGATTTTGCTGATTTTTCTGTTCTCCAGGTTCAGATTATCATGGAGGAAATGTCCATTACGGAGTGGACGGAGGTGAAGACGGGGGACTGGACCTCACCTGAGCCCCCTGACCCGCCTCCTCCTCATGGGACAGCTGACTGAGTGACTACAGGAGGCATGGCAGGTATTATGTTAAAACTCCATGATTTCCATGGTGTTATAATCCCACAGCCATGACATACTGCTATTTGAACACGCCTTACACTGAACACCAGAGAGACCGACTGGAGTGAAGTTCACATTTGTTTAATTCCTATTTTACATTCAAATCAAGATAATATGTGAAATGTCTGGTCAAAAGATCCAGACACTAATAACATGTTGATAAAAACTCCAAACTTCGTTTTTTGATGTCTGCATTGATTAAATGGTCAGATAATTGTGGTAGTGCTTTCATGTAGGCTATTGTTTGTGATAAAACAGAATCATATAATATTCTATCATAACATACTCTGAGAATTTTTTTTTAATGCATATTGATTACTTTAACCTTAAATACTGTAGTCTAATCTCTCTCTTTCTCTCTCTCTTTTTTTTTCTTTCTCTCTCTCTTCTTTCTCACGCAGTCTCTCTCTCTCTCACACACACACACACACACACACACACACACACACACACACACACACACACACTCA